GATAGCGTTGTATCTGTAAATTACTTTGGGCAGTATAGCCATTTTCACGATATTGATTCTTCCTAACCATGAACATGGAATGTTTCTCCATCTGTTTGTGTCCTCTCTTATTTCATTGAGCAGTGGCTTGTAGTTCTCCTTGAAGAGGTCCTTTACGTTCCTTGTTAGTTGTATTCCTAGGCATTTTATTCTCTTTTGCTCATTTTTTTATTATGTTGTTTGATTTTTATTGTTAAATTTTGAGAATTTAAAAAATATATGCTCCAGATACTGGCACTTTGCTGGCTATGTGGTTGACAAATATTACCTTCTAGTTTGTAGATTGTCTTTTCATCTACTTATTATTTTTCACAAATTTTAAAATGCTTTGCATAGCCCTAAATCTCAAAGAGTTTCTCCTTTTTTTTTGAAAAGTTTTATAACTTTACATTTTATATTTAAGTCTGTGATCCATTGTAAGTTAAATTTTATATTAGGTATGAGGTTTGGGTCAAGGTTTATGCTTTTACATATGAATGTCTAATTATTCTAGTATCATCTGTTCACAAGGCAAAACTGTCTTCACTGAATTGCTTTTACAAGCTTGTAAAAAAATCAGTTGGGCATGTCTTTGTATGGGTCTTTTTCTATATTATTTATTCTGTTCGATTAGCCTGTGTGCATTTTGCCACCAATACCATTTTCTTACTCAGCTGTCTCTGACAGTACCCTAGTGGAGTATTCAAGTGTCACATCACAGTCTGGTTGGAGTGGGAGTCTTGGCTGCCTGCCTTGCCCTTGGCTGGTGTAGGGGAGAAGTAGTGTCACAAAGCCTTCCCTGATATTTAATTGCAATAGAGTGGTTACAGTCTAAAAGTGTGCTTTTTTTTTTTAGCTGCCCCTTTAAAGCAGGCTTTTCTTTGGGACTTTTTGGATTGTCTACTTTAGCAGCAAGTATTTCATGTCTAAAATATATGAGGCAAAAAAGAAAACCCAGAAAACTCACCTCCATGTTGTTTCTTGAATCCTGACATCCCTAAGTAGTCTATCTTCTTTATGCCTGTCAGAATCACCTTACGTTTGCTTTGTATATAATTTTCAGAGTTCTTAATATACTCATTGGGAGGAACAAGGAAAAATATGCCTACTTCATCTTCCCAGAATCAGAAGTTTCACTCACAAAATTTTACTTCCGACCTAAATCTCTTCTCCATGGTCCAGAAATAAGTACCCTCATTTTCATCTGTATTTGTGTGTCTCAAAGGCACCTCAACTATAACTTAAGCTCAAAGCTGAGCCATCTCTGAATGTTGCACTGCAGTCTTCCTGCCACACAAGGAAAAAAGTTAAAGTTCTTCTTGGTACCTCTTCTCCCTCCCATTCTAACCATCATGAAATCCTATTGATTTTTTTTCTTTGAAATATGCTTTAAGTCTTCCCACTTCTCTGTTATCTGTATGCCACAACCCTAATCTAAGCCATTATCATATCTAATCAGAATCTTTTGCAAAAGTCTCTGGTCTGTTCACATACACCCTCCCTGTTCCAAACTCTTCTCTGTATTACAACTGAAGTAATCTTTTCAAAATATGATTGTTGTTATTTAGTAAATTGATATTGCTTTTAGAACACTGATTTTTAAAAATCTTTCACCTCATCTACAAGCCTTGCACAAATCTATTATAGAAGCTCAATAACTGTTTGTTGATAAATAACTATAGTGTATTTCTCCCTGACTAGATTCAATTCACCTAATAGAAATATATCCTAAAACTCTATGTATCTTCAGTTCAGTGGTAATGATAATCTTGATATTCTAATGACTGTACAAGGAGATTATATATACAATATGGCTAAAAGGAAAACGTGAAAGTAGTAAATTGTGCTGCTATTTCCTTTTTTTTATTATTATTTTTTTGAGACAGTTTTTTGAGACAACCCTTCCTGGGTTCAAGCAATTCTTGTGCCTCAGTCTCCCGAGTAGCTTGGATTACAGGTGTGCATCACTGTGCCCAGCTAACTTTTGTATTTTTTGTAGGGATAGGATTTCACCATCTTGGCTCAGATTGGCATCAAGCTCTAGGCCTCAGTCTCCCAAAGTCCTGGGATTACAGGCATGATCCACTGTGCCCAGCCTCTGCTATTACCTATATCAAGTGAATTTATTTGTCTGCTTGATAATTATTATCTGTAATATAAATGTGCTTATATTTCTAAGTATATATACATTTTTAAACTACCAACTCACTTCTCATCCCTATTGGAAATCTGTAAAATATTCACTCTCTGCATTTTAAAAAATAATAACTTCAAGGAAAAAATGGTCATAAGTTAATGAAAATATTAACTTTGACAACAAAATGACAGAATCATTGCAAATATGTTTGTATCGTGGCCTTCCCAAATAAATGTTAAATTATTACAAGTTCTTCACTATATATGTTTATTTATTGTTGCATTCATTGCATACGATAGAATAACATCAAAATATTGTTCCCAATGTTAAGACTATATAAAAGGAAGGCAGAAGACTTCCTCTGCTCTTGAAAATTACGCAGGTCATTTGGACTAAAAAAAGAACAAAAAGACTTCTGATTCTGACAAGGGTTGGGTTAACTGGAAAAGACTTATAAGAAAAGATTTTTGGTCCTGATCTCTAAATCAGCTTTTGAACATCAGGTGAGAAAGAGGGAGAAAACAACAGCAAAAATGACCAGTAGTTACAATATGAGTAAAAGGTACAGAAGCAAGAACAGGTGGGACTTTGGTAAGTAAAGGCAAAACTACTAATCTAGAATTTAAAAAAAAAGAGGATAGTCACAACAAGAAATTTCTATGACTTATTTCTATAGCTATAAATAGAAAAGGATTTTAAATAAAAATTTTAAAATTTAGACATGATGCTTTAGACATAGTCCTCAGTGTATGTATGTTCTCAATACATTTTGTTGAAGAAATGAATGAATATAAACAGCAGTGAAGGTACTGGTATTCCAGGCTTTCCTCCAGACATGTTAGCATGGATTTCAAAGTAAAATTTCTAAATAAAATAACCACAGCCAAAAAGCTAAGGTGTTTATTTTCTTTTAAACATTTTGCCTGCAATTAGAGTCCACTGTCCCAGACCTGCCACAAATTGCCAAAGTTGTAGCTTTCTGATATAAATATCCATACTACTGAATGAGTTAATGTTCTCATTAACTGACAGATTAGTGAAAATTTTCACTCCATTGTATTTTTACTAAAATAGCTAAGCATGACGACAAAAAGAAAACAACTATGTTTCATTATTTACAAAAATAAGAGTCTCCCCCAATAATCCATGACTTTTAAAATTGCTGCTTGGTCTAACCTTTTGTCAAATTGGTGTTAAATTGGCCTAAGATACCAAAACTCTGTGTTTTTATTCACTGAGTGATAATTCCTCAAAGAGGGATGTTTCCAGTCCTCTCTCTGTTCTTCTCTGTTAGAAGTGCTAATACTTCATCTCAGGCCTATCCATATCTTAAATGACATGAGAAAAAAACTGAAAAAGGTGGGGGAAATGGGGCCATCTTCTCTCTGGTCTTTTGTATTTTTATTTTTCCATCCTTAGACTACAGTGGTCAGTATTACTTATGTAGTAACATGGTCTACTCATATTCTTCCTTTCTGATCAGTATGTTTACTGGGTCTAGTGTGAAGTAACATATAGCTATCGTTTTTCCCCTTCACTAAGCATATGCCACTGAATTGGTAACATCTGCTTTTTTCTTAGCTTTTGCCAGAAACTTTTTTCCTAAGGGTCTTCAAATAAGGAAATTTTTTTTTCAGAAAATGTACATTTTATAAAGACTGAATAAATATCACCTACACTATTAATTGGCCTTCATGTTACTTTTAATGAATAATATTCCCCTCTAAATGTAATTTAAACATTTCAGACAATATAGGTTGACATTGTAAAATATTGTATTCTTTTCTTTCTATTGCATCTCAGTCATTCAAATCCTACAATTAGCAAGTTTCTCAAGCTGTCTCACAACGAAGGAAGTTTATCTATTACAGTAGAGAAAAAAATAAGAAAATTCAAATGAAAATAAATTGTTATAACTGCCTGATCTAACCTGGCAAACCATTTCTCTTCCTTCAAATGACTGCTACTGTTTTTGGTTTATAGGGACCGAGCTCCTTTTATTTTTACTTCAGAGATGGAATACTTTATTACAGAGGGTGGGAAAAACCCACAGCATTTTCAAGATTTTGTGGAGCTTTGCTGTCGTGCTTATAATATTATCAGAAAGCACAGCCAACTGCTCTTGAACCTGCTAGAAATGGTAAGTCCACTGGGAAAAATAATAATAATAATAAGCTTCATTTATGTCTCTGCTTTCGTATTCTAATTTTGCTAATGGGTTGGAGTTCCCCAAGGAGCTATTCAAAACAGAAATGAATAAGCAAACTAAGAGTACCATTGTACAGCTTACAAACATATTTCTTAATAATTTAATATGTTAGTTCAGAGTTATTGTCTCAAACATTCCTATTCATAACAATCTGGATGCATTTAGGGGTTATCCCACTATATTTTGACTAATGTTCAAGGACAGTAATTTTAAAAATAATGCCTTCAGTCGTATTGGGCATTAGGATCTTTCAAAAATGCCTTATAATAATGTGGACAATCTAAATGTAGACCAGGCAAGAATTTTCCCTGGCTCTCCATTCCAAACTCCACCTTTGATCACTTGCCTATTTCCCATATTTAGAAACTGAGGGTCAAAAGTGGAAAATGAGTTGCTAGCAACTCAACTTTTAGTGGTATGCATTAGGGGTACTGAGTCATGGTCCTACACACTCTCTTATGACCAACAGGGGAAAATTTAAGGTTTTATTCCATTGCCCAATTTAAAGAGATGGAGACCAGATATACACCATGAAGGAAGAAAAATCTGATAGAAATATCTTCTAGGAGAGGGATATAGTGATTCCTCTAGGCACATACATACACACTAGTGATTACAGCAAACTATACATGGGAAACATACATTTGGTCCATCAGCATGGGATTTGGAATCTATGAAAAATAACTAATTCAGAGCTTCCAGATAACAATAATTCTGCTAGATGTTAAGGGCACAAACTTGGTAGGCAGACCTTTCTGGGTTTCAATCCCAGTTTGGCATTTTACTGGCTACATTCTTCAGGACATGTTATTTAACCCCCAAAGACTGTTTCCTCATCTATTAAATGAAGATAACATCTACCTTGTAGAGTTAATGAATAAATCACCTAATAGTGAATTGTTTCCGTGGCCCAAGCACTGTGCTAAGTGTTTTGTGTGTATTAATTCATTTAAACTTCATAACCCTAACAGATCATTAATATAAAGCACTAAGCACGGTACTTGCCATTTAGTAGACTTCAGTTCATTTATATTATTATACTAGATCCTTGTTAATTTATAAGAACACTGTTTAATGTAATATCCTCTAGTCACAAGTTTGCTTATATTTAAATTAATATTTATTAAACAAAATTCAAAATTCCACTCTTCAATTTCACTGGTCACATTTCAACTGCTCAATAGCCATGTTTGGCTTAGAGGTACCATATTGGTCAGCACAGATAGGAAACTTCCATCACCACAGAAAAGTTCCACTAGTTAGTACAGAACAAATGTTGACTTCGTTGAAAGGCAGATGTGATTTGAATTCTTGTTTTAACGTTCAAACAACATATTCACCTTACTTCTCTTCACTTTGCCTTGAAAGATAAGTATATCTAAAAATATTATAAACATGTCCTTCATATGCCAAGATATTGATTTCTTCTTGTGTGAAGTGGATATATAAGGTTCTACCCATCTCCAAAATCTTCAAGTTGGCTTTTCAGTAACAGCCAAGGATTCTTATTGGTAGATCTACATTCTGTCTCTCAATTCTGTTAGGCCATATTGCAAATATGAGATGACTTACAGTTTATAATGCATCTGTACCACACACACACACACACACACACACACACACACACACACACACACACGTACAAGGACTAAGTCTGTGATTTTGACCTCATTTAGATAATAAATATCCAGGTAATATCAAGTCTACTCCTCCTTGGACTCTAGCAGGCTCTAGCTTATGAATTCATGAGCTCTCGAGTGTTTACTACAGGCCAGAAACTACAAAGGATACATTAACATATGAGACCCAGAGTCTTAAAATTTTCAATTTAATGAGGAAGATAAATTTTATTTACATAAGAGATCAAGGTGTCCAGCATTTCTAAATGCCTATAATGCTATAAATAAATACATATGATGAGTAGCACCAAATTGCTTTAATCTGCTTCAGATATTTCAAAAATAAACCCCAAACAGAAAAGCACAAATATAAGTTATACTCTTTCTCAGGTAACATTAAAATTATGCTGATGTAAACTGAGCATGTTAAAATAATATGAAAGAACAACACCTTGGAAAAAAAGTAGATCCAGAAAGCTATCAGTAGGCTTTTTTTCTCTTGTTTAATAAACTTTTCTACATATCTTAACAATGGATTCAGCATAAGAGTTATGATCTATTAATCAATTACCGAGGAGTATATATAGTGGTATTTTATATAAAAGAAGCTACATGGTATTATAATCATAAGAATTGAAATGATTTCTCATTAATGAGTTGTTGAAAATTTCTGGAATATAGTATATCCAAAAAAATTTCTGTGCTCTAATTATTCAGCTGTTTTAGGCTAAGGAAGAAAATTTGGCAGTGAAAGGCACTAATTCGGAGTAAACATATAATCTTAGATTTAGGTTCTCACAAAATTGCAGTAGAGATCAGAAGCAATGTGGGCCAATTAAGCTAATGAATAAATACATGTAAATCAGCAGTGTGTTATTACCTCAGTTTCTGGTCATTTACCTCTCAACTCTCTTCTCAGTTGTATATCCTATGGGACTCTATAGATTATCAAAGCATTTAGTGAAGGATTTAGGACCACACTTTCTTTGGTATAGCTTCTTATAAAATAAAACCGAGTTTAAATGTGTGAAATACTATTTTCTACTTATGTATATAATCTATTTGTTAATTCTGTCTCAACCTGACTCTTTTACGTCAAATTCTTTAAAAAGAATTCAGTCTACTTACCATGACCCAGTTACAACTTGAGAAATACTTGACATGGGTCATAAATTTTATCTTGGGCAAATGGTCAGTCCCTGGGATCGTGGGGCACAAGCATTTGGTGGGTCCACTACAGAGTTAACAGCCCATCCTTGGTAGAGAGCGCCATGTTTCCAGACATCCATATTGCTTTTTATTTACTCCTGGGGAAGGCAGGGAAAAAAGTAATCTATGAAATTCCCATCTTGCTTAAAAGTAACATCTGTAGGAGACCCAAGAGTGTTGCCGGCTGTGTTCACGAAAATAAAAGCCTGTGTTTCATCAGCTTTTCTCTCATTAAAAAATCAATATCAGCCATTATGGAAGGCTCCCAGAGAACACAGAGACCATTTGCCCACTTTAAAATGTTTATCACACCCATTATTATATCAGATATTTCCCATCAGAAATCTTCCTAGTTTCTCTGTGTGATGGGAAGAGTGTCTGCTTCTCCAAGCATAACTATTCAAATAGATTAGGACTTAGTAGGAAGAAAACAGAAGTAAAAACTTCAGAAATGTTCCTGACCTTGAGAAAGGAACATATCTGTTCATTACCTGGATCTGTTCACTTCCTGTTCTAGTCTTCCTTTCCCTTTGCTATTGACCCAATTAAAGTTAATACCAGACAGTCTAGAGTAGGAGGCACCTGAACAATGTGGCTAGGGGTCAGAGAAGAGACATAGCTAAGTGCACCCAGCTAAGAGGCCATCCTGACTCCGTGATATACAGAGTCAACACTCAAAGTCTCCTCTCCAAGGAATAGAACACATTAATAAGGGCAAACTTGGCACATGTTACCTTTAGTTAGATATGGTAGGGAGAGAACTATTACAGGTTCACCTGCTTTGAAGCAATCTGTACGTGGCAGTTAGTGTGTGTATGTGTGTGTTATGTGTGTGGGTGTTGGCAAGGGAACAAGTAAATGTAGGATCCACTTTCCAGAGAAATGTTTGATAGAGTTCTAACCAAGCAGGTGTGAATTCAGGGTATCCAGAGAAACTGGAATCTAATTCAGACCCTACAAAAGGAGCCTGTCTTTAGAGGATGGATAGTTATGCTCAGAAAAACAGACACTCTTCCCCAAGTGGTTCTTAATACAGAACTAGTAAGATAAAAGCTAATCTAGATTCTAGTGGCTATCGGGAATGTGTCTTCCTATTGTCGATTTTATTAAGTTTAGTAGTCAGCATTGAATTTGCTAATTGTAGGTTTTCATTGCCTAATAGAATCAAGTATTTTTTCCTCTCTTATTTTAAACTTTTATTTTAGATTCAGGGGTACATGTGAAGGTTTATTACATAGATTAACTTTTGTTACAAGGATTTGTTGTATAGATTATTTCATCACCCAGATATTAAGCCCAGTCCCCACTAGCTATCTTTTCTGCTCCTCATCCTCCACCCACCCTTCCCTCTCAAGTAGGTCCCAGTGCCTGTTGTTTCTTTGTATTCATGAGTTCTCACCATTTAGCTCCCACTTATAAGTGAGAACATGCAGTATATGCTCTGTTTCTGCATTAGTTTGCTAAGGATAATAGCTTCCAACTCCATCCATGTTCCAGTGAAAGACATGATCTCATTTTTTTGTAAGGCTTCATAGTATTCTATGGTATATATGTGCCACATTTTCTTTATCCACTCTGTCATTGATGGACATTTAGGTTGATCCCATGTCTTTGCTATTGTAAATAGTGCTGCAGTGAACATTCATATGCATGTGTCTTTATGGTAGAATGATATACCCAGCGGTGAGATTGCTATGTCTAGTAGTTCTGCTTTTAGCTCTCTGAGGAATCACCACACCGCTTTTCGCTATGATTGAACTAATTTATACTCCAACCAACAGTGTATAAGTGTTCCCTTTCTCTGCAACCTCACCAGCATCTGTTATTTTCTGGCTTTTTAGTAATAGCCATTCTGACTTGTGTGAGATGGTATCTCATTGTGGTTTTGATTTGCATTTCTCTAGTGATCAGTGATATTGAACTTTTTTTCATATGCTTGTTGGCCACATGTATGTCTTCTTTTGTGAAGTGTCTGTTCATGTCCTTTGTCCACTTTTTAATGGGGTTTTTTGTTTTTCAGTTGTAAATTTGTTTAAGTTTCTTAGAGATGCTGGATATTAGACCTTTGTCAGGTGCATAGTTTGCATATATTTTCTCTCGTTCTGTAGGTTGTATGTTTACCCTGTTGATAGTTTCTTTTACTGTGCAGAAGCTCTTAAGTTTAATTAGATCCCACTTGCCAATTTTTGCTCTCATTGCAATCGTTTTTGGTGTCTTTCTCATGAAACCTTTGCCTATTCCTATGTCTAAGATGGTATTGCCTAGGTTGTCTTCTAGGTTTTTATAGTTTTGGGTTTTACATTTAAGTCTTTAATCCATTTTGAGTTGATTTTTGTACATAGTGTAAGGAAGGGGTCCAGCTTCCTTCTCTGCATATGGCTAGCCAGTTATCCCAATACCATTTATTGAATAGAGAGTTCTTTTCCCATTGCTTGGTTTTGTAAGCTTAGTCAAAGATCAGATGGTCATAATTGTGTGGCCTTATTTCTGGGCTATTTTGTTCCAAAGTGCCTATTTTTGTACCAGTACCATGCCCTTTTGATTACTGTAGCCTGAATCAGGTATTTTTTAATTCATTTATTCAAGCATTCATTATTCCAGACATTTATTAAAATCTAGCTGTTTACAAAGCACCATGCTGGGCAGTGTATACAATTCAACATTAAATACAAACCCAGTTCCTGTTCTGAAAGAACTTAAGATCTAACATGACAAACACATAAGAACAAAACACAATAAAAGCTAGGAAGCAGTATGTACTGTGAAAGAAGTAGAACCAAGATATGATTGTACAAAGAAAGCAGTCATTAAATCTCATCAAGAGGATCAGTGATGCTTCAAGGAGGAAGATGTATTTAAGCTGAACCTTGAAAAAGAATTTCAGTAGACAAGGAAAGAGAGAAAAAGCAATTCTGGCTGAGAGAAAAATGTATGTGTGGAGGTTTAATAAGCATGGGCGTGACTTGTAGGAAATGAAGGTTAATCAAGTGTCCCCAGTCTATGGTATAGATGGAAATCTCTGTAGAAGATGAGGTTGGAATGATAGGTTATAATGTGATTATAAAAGAACAAAATGAGGATTTTAGACTTTAGTACCTAGACCTTTGAGAATTAGAAGTTTGTATGCTTATAATGAGGAAGTACCATTATCTAGCTTGGATCTTAGGCAGATAACAGAAGTTATGTAATTAAAGAGAAAGGATTGGAGAACAAGAAAAAAGTTATTCCAGGCATCTAGGCAAATGAAGATGAAGGGCTGAATTACAGCAATGATAATATCAATGAAAACAGAGAGTGAATATAAGAGACTGCTGAGGAGTGATTTTAATAGAATTAAGTGATTGATCATAGGAACCAGGAAAAAGAGAGAATCAAAGAAGATAAGAGTTTCTTGTTAGTTGAGCAGTGGTGGCAGCGTTAAATGAAACAGAAAAAAGAAGGAAAAGCTTATGTGAGAAGAGACTCTGCTCTAATTTAGATATCATGAGTTTAAGATGCTAATAGATCATCCAGGAGGAGAGACAGTTGACAACTCTCCAGGAGTCCCTCATCCATCTACTTGGCTTCAATGATCATTTATATGCTAATTACGGCCAAATCTGTATTACAGCGTGTGCTCTGGGCCCTGCGCAGCCCTCTCAATGTGTCCAATCTATCTCCCAGTTTTCTCAATTTCTGCTTTCTACATTTATTTAAAATCCAATGACTGATCTTCATTCCTAACCAGTCTCCTAATCTAGCCTCTTATTGGGCCTCATTTTAGTCCATTTTCCATATGTAACCACAATGAGCTTTCAAAAAACAAATCTCTTACTCTCAAGTTGAAACACTTAAAGAGCTTTATCTCTCTCTGTTTTT